GCTGGGGATGTTGAATCAGAAGAGATACGATGGATACATCCCCCCAATGGTTCCCTAAAATGTAATGTGGGTTCCTCATGGGTAAACTCAAATCATTTAAGTGGCGCTTCATGGATTGTTCGGGATGCAGCTGGACATACAATCATCCATAGTCGTCGTGTCTACTCTTGTATGCGCACAAAGACAGAAGCAGACTTATGGGCGCTGTTTTAGGCGGTGGAATGTCTACATAACTTACATTTCTCCAATGTTATCTTTGAGACATCGTCGGAATGCCAACGTGATTTCCTCACAAAGCCGGAAGATCACCCTAGGTTCAGCCATCTCCGACACGATATATCCTTTCTTCTTGCAAGGATAGAGTTTTGGAGCCTCGATCACGCACTTCCAGAAAGAAATGAAGCTGCATCGGCAATTGCTCTTAGTGTCACCCGAGATAGTCGAACCCAATCATACATCTCCCGAGATGCACCGGCTTGACTTCAACATTTACTCACTTTGGAAGCTCGACAATAATGAGAGTTGGTGAGATTTTCTTCCTTTCGCCATGTTTATGCTGTGTCTATTGACATCCTTTTTAATTTCTTGTTCTCTGCTTTGTATCACAACGATTATTTCTACATGTTCAATTGTTATAAAAAATATATCAATACCATTAAAACAAGATCACTCTCTTTAATGAGTTTTTTATGTTTTCCAAAAGTACCCTGAATATTATGAACAAATTTAATTTTTCACTAATGACAATTTGGTCTTTTTATTATGGTCCTAAAAACTATATACTAATGGGTTTTATTAATGGGTCAAATTCACCTTCTAATTATTAGTCTGCTTGTCCTGACCCATTCAACCCGCCACAGAATGAATGAATCGATATTTAAGAAAACTAAGTTGCGGTTGCGGGTGCGGGTGTAATAATTGTGGGTATCCAGTAATCTTCAGAAATAGAAAAAAAAAATTTAGAAATTATTTTTCAAAAATATACTAAATTTTGTTAACATAATTTTTTAAAAAAAAATATATAATAAAAAATATACTATTAATATTATTTTTAGAAAAAAATAATATATAATTATTTTTATTATTACTAATTATCCACAAGTCCCGCGGATTATTCGCTAAATTAAGTGGGCCGATACAGATAAATTTTATTTTCTTAGCGGGTCGGGCAAGGCGAGTTTGACCCGCTTCCCAGCACCAAGCATAGTTAATTGATATTATTTTTCTAAAATAAAACTACACAATTACATATAATACATTTACATAGATATTTATTATAATAATAAATTAAAATCTACAATAATTTTAGAAAGTTATATTAGATAAGAAAATTTTATATCATCAAAGCAAAAAAAAATTATCGATCCATTTGTAGATAAAGCAACAATTTATCTACAAAAATGGTATCCGCGCTTTTTAAGTGCGGGTCAAAAATATAGTATTCTATCAAAATATAAATCATAACTTCATTTCATGTGTGACTTTTTAGTTAGACCTTCCTTAGACATTTATATATATATTTTTCTTAACATTAATAACATATATATATATATATATATGTAACTACTTTAATCATAATATCTTTTGATATTTTTCACTATAAATAAAATATATATTTTTAAAAAAAAATCAAACAAATTTGTTGAAAAGCATTTTAAAAAGATCTTATATTCAAAATCTTATGTAAATATTTTTACTAATTTTGTAATTAATAATAAAATATTATTATACATTAATATATTCATTCAGTTATTTTTTTATAAAATGGAAAATAAAAACTCTAACAGATTTGTTGAAAAGATTTTTAAAATATGTCAATTTTGAAAATCTTATGTAAATACTTTCATTAATTGCATAATTAATATTAAAATACTATTATACATTAATATATATATATACATATATATATATTCAATTATTTAAATGAAAAATAAAAATTCTATCATGTTTTATTTATTTTATAATCACAAACTATCATATTAAAATAATTATTATAGTGAACTAAATAAGATAAAGTTATATTAAATTAATATATTAATGTAATTTATGTCAAATATGTTGCTTCATGCATAAATTGATCCAATTAATAAACAAATATAAATTCATTAAGATAACTATATAATAGGAAGCAACAAATATGACGGTTTGAAACAAATGATTAGTTATAATATGTAAAATTATTGTATTTAAAATAATTATAAACCTTTAAACATATGCTTAAAGTTAATATATATACCTTGGGTCGGCCCGGGCTACACCCGGATCTTTTATCAAAATTTTAATTTTGATTATATATTTAACATGTTTATTTTAATGTATAAGTATTATAACTTATTATAAAATATAAGTAGCTAGACTTAAATCAAAATTGTTAATATCCAGAAGAAGTTGTTATTTAAAATTATATATAAGGTGATGAACAAATTAATTAAATAAATTTAAGTTAAGGTATTTAATTGATGAATTGTAACAAATAAAAAAACTTATCGCACATACATGATCTGAGACCAAAATACTATAGCTCTTTTAAATTTATGGTGATCCGTTACTATTTAAGATATACCATTTCTTTCAAAAACTATTTAGCACATACTGTCACTTTCAAAATTTTAAAGTTAAACCCGTTTAAAACCATTTCTTCTATTACTACTTAGTGCACATCATCACTTGGTCACTACATCACTGGTAATCAACCAAATAGTTCAACAATAGACGAATGCTGAAAAAAATGATAACTGATCATAAGATGGACAAACAGCCAAACTTCATTGGATAAACATACTCAACGATAAAAGACAGTTTCAACATTAATATATATATGCATGAGTAGAAACATATAAGTAGATAGATATATTTTAATGTAAAAGATTCGTACCACAAAGTTGACAGAAGAAGAAGCAAGGATAGTGAAGAATACATCCTAATACGCATCAGAAAATGAGCAGTGAAGAGATGCAACATAGAAGTGAAAGTGTGAAACCAGATGCAACATAGAAGTGAAAGTGTGAAACCAGTCATGTATCTTGGCTGCTCTTTAATTACTCATATTCACTACGTCTGATATATATATGTCACTAAGTTTGATACTTCTCTAAATGCATCTCTCCATTCCAGCAAGCACTACACAACGACATTATATATAAAAAAATGATTATTATATTCACTGAAATTTGAATCTTAAAAAAACATAATTTTGAACAAAAAACAAAATAAAATAAAATAAAAGAAACAGAAAGTTAAAGAATATATAGTTAATCGTTTCAGTGTTTTTGAGGGGAATCAATGAAGAAGACTACATACATCACTGCAACGTATTTTTAAAAATAGTAATATCCAAATATCGAATAAATTATAGAGGGATGTTATGTCTTCTAATCTATACTATTATTTGCGAAGTGATTTTTCGCAACGGAGCTCTCACGTTAAAAGTTAGAGTGGTTAATATCGTTTATACCCTTAATGAAAATAGCTAATAATAAAAACGAATTTAATACTTATTTGATTAGATTTCAAATTAATAATAATGATAATAATTATCCATAATCTAAATATATATTTAAAAAAAAAAGAGAATTCTTATAGATATTGTATTGTTATCCGGAAAATATATTTTTAATAAAAAATTCAAAAACAAAAAAACACATAAATAAATATTCATAAAGTAAAATTTTTAATTTTATATAATTAAAAAGTATAATACGTAATTATTTTCAAATTAAAATAATATAATAATATTATATAGATATATATTCGTGAAGTTATTTTTCACCTCTGAACTCACACGTTAAATTAAATTTATGTTTCTATTTTATATAGTTAAACCTTAAACATGAATTAATCATATAAAATAAAAGATCATTCAAAAAGGAAGAAAATACGTATTTGACAAAAATATATTCAAATATATTGTATAATTATCCAAACTAATTTTATTCTTTCTATAAGATCAATTTTGAATGTATATTTATCGATTCAATTTTTCAAATTGAAAGATAGATTTCTATAAATTTTATCAATTAAGAAGAAATTAAATAGACTTTAGATTTTTCAAAATTTTAAAGGAAAACATAGATTTGTTTTTAATTTGTGAATAACTTTATCAATGTAAAAAAGTTTAATGTTATAGGTCAAATTATTTGGATGCAAATAATCATTTATTTTGATGATTTTTTAAATTGACTTAAATATAATTAAGTCCGCAGGTCCGCATTTAAGTGATTTTTCACAATGGAGCTCCCACGTTAAAAGTTACACTGGTTAATATCGTTTATACCCTTAATGAATAAAATATATAAATTACATANGTAAAAAAGTTTAATGTTATAGGTCAAATTATTTGGATGCAAATAATCATTTATTTTGATGATTTTTTAAATTGACTTAAATATAATTAAGTCCGCAGGTCCGCATTTAAGTGATTTTTCACAATGGAGCTCCCACGTTAAAAGTTACACTGGTTAATATCGTTTATACCCTTAATGAATAAAATATATAAATTACATACAAAATAAAAACGAATTTAACTATTTTAGTTAGATAAGTAATTAAAACTAATAATAATCATAAGAAATATCCAAAATCTAAATAATATGTATTTAAATAAGATAATTCTTATATATATTGTGTTGTTATCTACACATATATTTTAATAAAAAAATAGAAAATTCATAACTAAATATTAATCAAGTAAACTTCTTAATTTTATATAATTGAAAATATTATTTGATTTTAAGATTTATTTTTAATAGTGAACATAATAACAAAAAAATATGTGTAAGAATGTTTAAATGAAAATATGAATATTATGGGTTTAAAAAAACATATATAATAATTTATCTTATAATCTTTCAATTAGTAAAAGTATATTAGTAAAATAATTATAAAATGTTTAGGCCCGCAAGTGCGGGAAAAACACCTAGTAATAGGAAATATAGAGATGGTTATAGCGGTTTTGTATCTATATGGGATTATAAAGGCAGCACACGTCCAGATAGAAGGAACTACAGCCATATATCTTCAGCCTCATTATCAGGTTGAAGGCCAGCTTTCTCATCACCGCCGAATAGGTAGCATTCGATCAGTTGGTAGTCCATGTACCTGAGGCATAAACACGATCACTCAATGACAATAAAAGGAATCACTTAAGAAAACTATGTCATACTGTTGCAAGGGATCTCAATCAAAACCCACAACTCAATCAAAAGAAAAGAAACACTTGACAAAACTGTGGCTTATTGTCGCATGAGAGAGAAGAGGAACAATACTTTACTAAAACCCATAAGACGTAAACAAAGATAAACGCCCTTTCCAACATGTGTGGGAAGACCCCAGTTGTTTTAATTACCTTAGTCAAGAGCTCCCAAGCCCACTCAGTTGATTCTTTCTTAAAATAATCACCAAATGACCAGTTACCCAGAATCTCAAAGAAGGTGTGATGGTAAGTATCTTTACCTACATCGTCGAGATCAATATGCTTGCTACCAGCACGAATACACTTCTGGGTGTTACACGCCCGGGTTAGCTTACTGAGCTCCGTATTCGGATCAGCCGTTCCCAAAAATATTGGCTTGTATTGGTTCATTCCTTTGAAAAAACAGAGAAATGAAATTAATATACACAGAGCTAAGAATCGAGAACATGACATTTGAAACTGTATCTAAACTAATCAAATGATAAGTGAATAGATCACTGTACATTAGGCAGACATTACACAAACCTTGTGTAAAACTTCATTAATAATCGACATTAGCCATTTAAAAACCCACAGAATTATTTAGCTACACGATTTGAAAGTTTCAATAACATATTACTTACATTAACATCCACAATCAGCATATCAACCCACGTAAATTCTCTGCCGCGCCTGACATTCCTTGCCTTTTGAGACGAAGCAATCTAACTCAACAGTGGAGTAGCACCTCCTGGACTTCAAACCAAGAATTTTTTTTTTTTAAGAGTTAGCCATTTGAGAGAGAGTATGGATGGAAACAGAGATATGAAGATGGTTTCAAAGAAACGAAGCAGACATTTTTATACTAGTACACACACCGCCTTAGAGAAGATAATGTCGTACTGATGCAGAGATCATGTGCAAAGAAGTTAAAGAACATGATTAAAGCAAAATGACGGTATGAGAACCTAGGCGAACTGAATCTCACGCCGATTTAACAAAATCTTAATCAACGACGGCTCAAGAAAAAAGAATAAGAAGAACCTTAATTCCTGATGTTTGTGGGTTGTGATGAGGATGTTTGTTCCTTAGCGGCATGGACAATAAAACATATCAGAAAGCCCAAAAGTTAGATGATTAAATCCCGAATCAAGTGTTCTTGAAGAGTTATTGAAACATAGAGTTTCAAATTTTGGACACGTGTCAACATTGTATTAAACGGAATTAGTGACATGACGAATGTGATGGATTAAAGTCTCATTTATATAAATATNAGGATGTTTGTTCCTTAGCGGCATGGACAATAAAACATATCAGAAAGCCCAAAAGTTAGATGATTAAATCCCGAATCAAGTGTTCTTGAAGAGTTATTGAAACATAGAGTTTCAAATTTTGGACACGTGTCAACATTGTATTAAACGGAATTAGTGACATGACGAATGTGATGGATTAAAGTCTCATTTATATAAATATACTAGGTGATTTTCCCGTGCTCATGCACGGGCATAAATATTTATAATAGTTGATTGATATTTACTTTAACTTTTATATTAATTTATAGATTTTATGTATAATTATATTAATAATATTATATTATTTTAGTTATATATAATTTTAGATATATTATATTTAGTTAGTTTATCATTTGGATATATATATATATATATATATATATATATATATATATATTGGATTCTATCTATTTCTCTGAATTCAACTATAATTTTTTTTATTCTAAATATCTTAAACTTTTGATTAATTGTTTTATTTACATTTATGTTGGTTGTTATCTTAGAAATATAAGTATATCTTAGTAAGATTATGTATTTTAATATTCTTTGTGCTTAGAACGAAAAAAATAAAAACTAAAGTGTCTGATTCTAAATTACATACATAAGTAATAATAAAATTTCAGAAGCTTATGAAAACATATCAATATTTACAATAATTAAATATTTTAGAAAATTTAAATAATTTATGCCTTAGATTGATTGGATGGTAAACTGAAATTTATTTTAAATAATTTTTAAAATAAAGAATTATAATTTTCTTAAGTATTTTGATTATGGTTATATTAAATTCCACAAACATAAAAACAGAAAATTAAACATCAAAAGAGTTATTAAAAAATATAATTTTAACTATTAAAATATAATATATCTACCTCGTTAAATTATATAGTGTTATGATATTTTAAAAGAATTGTAGTTATCTGATCAAAAGATGTTTACCATTAAATTTATTTTTAGTTTTGTTTTTTAAATCTCTTAAAATATGCAGTAAAAATGTGATTGTTTTTGAGAAATTATATTATATAAGTAAAATATAATTTATATTTTTTGTTGTAACGGTAAGATATTATAATCAAATAAATATACTAATTATAATTTGTTTGTCAATTAAACATATATCAGTTTATGTTACTTAATTATTTTATGTAATCATCTAATAAAATAGATAGATATATACAAAACTAATTACTTTGAAAATATATATATTTTATTGTTTAAATTATTTTTTAAAAGAAAAAATATTTCTTTTTCTAATATCAAGATTATTTGTATGAATTTTTTTTTATGAAAACACATTATATACAAATATTTTTTTCATCTAAGAAGATATAGATATAAAGTATAATTACTTAAAAAGTAGAATTTATGTTATTTAAAAATATATTTAAATTAAATATTACTATTTTGTAAACTTTCTTTTTTATGACACCATATTATATATATACTTATTTTTCGTTTTTAAATAATTTTGTAAATTTTAGAAATATTTCCTTTTTGTTTTATATTGTTATTTGGAAGATTTTGAAAAGGAAATAATAATATTTAAATATATTTTTAATTCATTAGGGGTATCATAATAATCAACCAACGTGAGAGTTAACGTGAGCGCGACACCTAAGAAAGTGACTTCTCAAATAATATTATAGAGATATATATGTAATATATATAAGAAATATATACAAATGTGTAAATGAAATTCAGGCGGATTAAAATCTAAGTTAAATCTTAAATCTTAGTATATTTGTTATTAGTACAAATTTTATTTGGAGTCTTATGAGTACAAATCTTATTTGGAGCTAAACTTGCAAGTGTCACGTACATCCAAACACCAATTCAGTCTTTCCTGCCGCTAAACTTTACAAGGAGAAAGTGGAGGACCGCAAAGACAGTCGTTACCAGCAAACGCACTGGCCGGAAACTTTGTTGTCGGAAGCTTTCCGCAAAGGTGATTCTGACTCACGTTCAGTGTGTGCAGTCCAGCAACGGCGGCCGGCACCCTCCCGAACACCAAGTTTCTCGACAGATCCAGCGTCTTCAGAGTCTTCGCAAACGTCAGCTTCCCCATATCAAACCGGAGCTTGTTCCCTGCGGCGCGGAACTCCACCAGATACTCCGCCGTCTGGTTCAGAAACCTCGCGGGACTCCCTGATATCTCGTTTTCAGACAGATCAATAAAATCATAAAAGTAATATTCCGCTGGCTTCCAATCGTCTAAGCTCATCTTGATCCCGCATTTCGCAAGCTTCAACGAGAAGATGATCGGCGACGACGTCACCCACTTGGGAATGGTTTTGAGATGAAACTGATTGTACGATAGATCCAACGACTCGATTCCCTTAACGTACAGAGCAGGGAACGGATCGGTGAGAAGATTGTGTGAGAGATCAAGATTGAAGATCTTGGTGAGATTCGCGAAGGTCTTCGGCACGACTCCGGAGAACTGGTTTCTCGAGAGATCCAACGTGTCAAGCGCCTTGAACCTCGACAAGAAGTCTGGAATCTTCCCAGAGAGTTTGTTATGGCCTACTTCCAGGAACTTGAGAATCGGTGCGAGCGATGCGATCGACGGAGGAAGGTTCCCGGAGAATCCGTTACGAGAAAGAACGAGAGATCGGAGCTCCGGCATGGATTTGAAAATATCCGGGATTGTTCCGGAGAGACGGTTACCGCCGAGATTCAGATATGACAAAAGCTTGAGATTAGCAATCCCTGAAGGGATGGTTCCGGTTAAGAGATTACCGCCAAGATTGAGCTGAAATAGCTTGGTCAAATTGGAAACGGAAGTCGGGATCGGACCGGTGAACCGGTTTCCTTCAAGGCTAAACGCTTCAATCTGGCTTAACGAACCGATGTTAACCGGGAGTGTACCGGAGAGACGGTTGTTCTCGATGTAAACGTATTTGAGCTGTGGTAGTTGGAAAAGGAACTGTGGGAAAGGTCCGGTGATGTTTTTGAGGTCTTGGAAGTAAATCCCGTCGAGGTGTTGGAGCTTGGCTAGCGACGGCGAGATTGTGCCGGAGAGAAAGCTTCCGGCCACATCAGACTGCCCGGCGACGGTGAGTGCGGTAACGCGGTCGCCGGAGAGGCAAGTGATTCCGTTCCAGGAGCAGCAAGCAGTGCCTTTCTTCCATGAGCTGAGAATACCCGAAGGATCTCGGGTTATTCCCGATTTGAAAGTTAGAAGACCTGCCTCGTCATCTGGATGACACGTGGCGCCTCTGGTGGGGTTTAGACACCGGAGGATGATAACGGCAGTGAAGATGACGAGTGAGAAGGAAGAAGTGTTCATGATGGTGTTGTATTGTGTGATTGAGAGAAGTGAATGGGTGGTATTAATAGAGTTTGTTGGTTTGAAGTCAAAGTTGACGATTTTGACCAATCCATTGGCATGTGAGGCATAATTAAAGGTATCTGTAAATCTGTAATCGTGTCCGCCATTCCCAACACGCTTGAAAAACACTACATCAGATTTTAACTCTTTTTGTTATCCTTAACGCTCTTCTCCTGAAAAACAAAAACAAAAACAAATCTTATTTTGCTACTATTTCTTTGTTATGTTTTAAAAAGTCGAAAATTTCTTTCTTTGGATCCATCTATAACATTTTTACGAAAAAAGCAATCAATTTTGTATGTGGAAGTAATATTTTATACAATTTGAAAGTTAACTATGGAAAGTTTACAGTGACAAAAAAAAAAAAACTATGGAAAGTTTACAACTTTTTTGTTTTGTTTACGATTTACGTTTTAGTACTGCTGGAAAAATACACCACTTTCTTTAAGTTTTGAGAACGTAAGTAATAGGACATTTTAATGCAAATTTTAGCTAAATTCAACTAATTATTATTATTATTTTGTTTGAGATAAATACATGTCCATATTTTAAAATAAAAAAAATAAAAACGTTTAGGCTTATCTCTAATTTTTCGTTTTAGAGATTCTATACAAACATCAAATTTATATAGATTCCATACATACGATCTTCCTGCTACCAAGTAACCATTTTATAGTTTAACTAGGATAAGACCCGCGCCTTGCGCGGGATGAAACTATTATTTTTATTATGTTTTTAGAAATGAAACAATAGTTCGGTTTCATTCGGATTAGAGGTGTTCAATCCGGATATCGGATTTCGGTTCGGCTCGATTTTTTGGTATTTCGATCATTAAAATATAACTATTATTCTAAATCTATATGTACTTCAGTTTGATTTGGTTTATATACCATCGGTTTTCAGTTTATTCAATTTAATACCAAAAACATAATTATTTAGTTTGAGATCATATTATATATTATACAAACATATAATATGATCATATTTAAAGTCATATTGTCACAGAGTCATTTATTAAGAAAATATTATATATTTAAATAAAAGAATACAAAATAAAAAAGGCTTCTATCATTTAATAAAATGATCAAATCTAAAATTAATATCAAAACACTAAATTTTGAAAAATAAAAATAAAAAACAAAATAGAAGCATGAAAGAAAAGTTTTTATATTCTTCCATATTTAGTGTTCATCAAACCAATATGTCTTTGATTGAACACAACTCTGTTTGTTTAAAGATAAAAAACTTGTAAATAATTTCAACTAATTGTTGTCCATCAAATTTATAACTTTTTACTTCAATTTAGTTACTGTTAAAAAAGCAAAAGATCAAAATAAAAAGTCTTAGTTGTAATAAATTGTTAGCTATTTACAAATTATAATTATAGTTCAACTCATGAAACAAATAGATATTCATGCGTCGTTATAAATATATACATATTTACATGTTTCAGTTTAATCGATTATAAATCACACCATATCCAAATCCTATGGTTTTTATAAAATCACATCCATTCGGTTTGTATGGTATATACCAAAAATAGCCATATTATCGATTGTTAATATCTTTTAAAAATATAAAATTAAAAAAGAACTAAGATATTTAAATCATTGATAACAAAAAATTTCAATGTGAAAAATTTAATAAGTTTATAATTTATAAATGTTCTTGAAAATTTATTGAAAATTTTGAAATTAAAATATTTATGTAATCTTATATGGTATATAGTTTAATCTGTATATNAAATCATTGATAACAAAAAATTTCAATGTGAAAAATTTAATAAGTTTATAATTTATAAATGTTCTTGAAAATTTATTGAAAATTTTGAAATTAAAATATTTATGTAATCTTATATGGTATATAGTTTAATCTGTATATATATATTTGTTTTATTATTGAATGATACTTTTTACTTATATGGTTTTAAAATCATGTATATATTTTTATAATAAAATGTTAAACTATTGATCATTAATTTTTAACATAATAATTTTAATAGTTTAGTTATTTATTTTCGTTTTTTAAAATTCAAAATATAACCTATACGAAAAAATCTAAGGTTTAATTTTATAGCTAATTTGATTGTTTAATTTATTTTAATAATATAAAATTAAAGAAAAATGATGGAAGATATATAAACTGTTATCAAATATTTGTTAATAGAATCGTTAAGTGTCATATATATATATTAGTCATTTATAGTAATTCCGTAGGTTTTATTTATGGAAATAAAATAAAATAGTAATTATATCTTAGGAAACAATCATTATGTGTCATATATATATTAGTCATTTATGGTAATTCCGTAGGTTTTATTTATGGAAAGAAAATAGCATATCATATCATTATATCATATAGTTTGACTAACTAATGTATCTAGCAACCTATAAAAATTCAATGTGGACTTACTTATTTTTCAATTGAATCTAATTGACTACCTCATTGAATGACACCTATGCATTGGGGCCTCTTTTAATTAATACAAAATTGAGGTTACATCTTTTCAAATGTTTCTCAATTAATATATAGGGGATTTGGTCATAGTTATTTTCTAACTAACTTATAATTAATAATAAGCCGAAAGCCCAAACATTAAAATGTCTAGTTATTAGTTTTTGAGAAAACAAAAAAATAACACAAACAAAACAATCATCAAATCACTGTTGTAAATTAGGAGCCGCATCAGAAATTTGGGCCCGAAGGCCCATTATCATTAAAGATGCGGTGGAGGAGCGCACACAGGTTAAACAAGAGAAGCGGATTTGAGAATTTGAGTTGTTCAGGTTTTACTTAGCAAGAACATCACCAAAACTTTTCCGAAGAGAATCGTGATGGCGACATCAAAAGTTAGACTAAAAGTTTGGTTCGAGAAGAAAATCACCGAACCTCTTGTCCAGATCCTGTGCAGGTTTTGTTCTACTCTGACTCTCTTCATCATAAGTACCTCTCTTTCCAGCTTTAAATTGTTCTTTTTATCCTAGAGTTAGTACTTGTGAGGTGGAATCAGATAGATAACATGAACAAAGGTTTATTGCTCAGTCGTTGGTTTCTTATTTTCAAACCAAATCGAACAGTAATGTTTAACCATGTAGCTTTGTCACTTTTATATGTTATAAGAAAGTAAACCGAGCTGTGATTTTGTTTTTCCCTTTTTGGGGGTTTCTTTAGAGGTGCTGAGCCAAAGCAGCTGGCTTTCTCTGCGGCATTGGGCATTACCATGGGAGTATTTCCAGTCTGTGGTTTGTTCTCCTACCTACTTCTTGTTTCTTGAAGAGTTTCTCATACAGCATTTATTGTGTTTGTGGTCTCAGAGTAGATGGGTCTTTGCTTTTGTATTAAATAGGTGTTACCGTGTTGCTGTGTGGAGTAGCTATTGCGTTACTTGGATCTCTTTGTCATGCTCCTACTGTCATGTTGTTTAACTTCATTGCTACTCCTGTTGAACTAAGGTAATTCTTCATGACCGCTAGTACAGTCAATATAAAGAGAACATAAAGCATTGTTGTTGTTGCTTTTTGCAAGTATTAAAGTGAGTCCTTTTATGTGTAATTTTTGTTTACATTTTGAAGTCTTGTGGTGCCTTTCTTACGGCTTGGCGAAAAGCTAACCGGTGGACCTCATTTTCCTCTAACATCCGATGCTCTAAAGAAGGTTTTCACAGGCCAAGCTTCCAGTGAAGTTTTCTTAAGCATTGGTAATGCGGTAAGGTTTTCTAGCATTAAGCTTAGTTGGTTCAGATTTTGGATATATCAAATCGATGCAAAGCTGCTTAAACATGAACCCTCTTTTTATTTTTTGCAGCTACTAGGGTGGCTAATAGCGACTCCATTTGTTATCATTGGACTATACATTCTCTTTCTACCATGTTTCAAAATCCTTATCCGTAAATTCAGCTCTGTTTCTCCAAGCGCAAAATCACCAACCAATCTGCACTCAGACCACAAGTCAAAGGAAAGGGTCGCTTAAGTCAACAGAGACCAAGAACCTCACATCTCCTACACCGCTCTATATCATTAAGGTTCTTGGTTCCTGCAAAGCTTAACCTGGTGTTGTGCTATGTGATGTTGGTGTTTAAGCTTTTCTTCAGCAATAGGCCGGTATATGCAAATCAGTGATAAAACTAACAACTTAAATAGCTTTTAGTGTCGTGTTGTGTGTGTATATTGATGATAAATGTACAAGAACATGGGATGTCCAAGGGAGTTATGGGTTCCCATATAAAATAAACCTTTAATCGTTAATGTTTTTAAAATTTAAGAACAAAACAAAAACAATCTTGTATGTATCTTCATTTGGTTGCAAAGCAAAGCAGTATAATCGAAGACATGAAGTCGACAAGTTGATGATGGCTTTGTAGGCAAGCTCCAAAAGAAGAAGAATATGTGGACAATGATCGGTGTAACGTTGTGCCTTCCTCTTTGGTTTACTTGTCTCACTCTAATCTTCTCATTTTCTGCCAAAACCCAAGGGAAAATTAACTAACGCTTTCTTAATCAAATCATTAATGCGCCTAATATCTCTCTAATCCTATTTTTTCTTTCTCTAATCCTATTTAATTATGACAAAAAATAAAATAGAAAATGAAGGAAGGAAACAAACAGTTGCCCTCTAAATGCTTCACCTGAAAACTCTTGCCACATCACAAAATCACATTATTATTATTATTATTTTTTCATTTCCGATCTCCAATCTCAACCATCTCTGGATTTCCTTTCAGCAACTTTCGGACATTGAATTGTTTGTTTGTCTATGTGTCTGTGTGATGTCTTCTTACAGCAATTCAAACCACACTTCTTCATCCACGGCCGTGAACTCGCCGGAGCTTAAACTATACCAAGCTTTCATCTTCTCTGTCCCAATCTGCTTCACTTTCATCATCCTCTTCGTCTTCTACGTCATCTACCTCCGTCGCGGCAGCGCCGATTTGTCTTCCCTCGGAATGCGAACTACCTTCCTTCCAGGAAACTCCATCTCCACGGTACTCATTTATCTTGCTTTCTGGGTTTTAAGTGTGATTCTTTTCTATTGATGAGTTTTAGTTCAATGAACAGGCTGAGTTAGGGTTAAGCAAAGAGCTGAGAGAGATGCTCCCCGTTGTAGTCTATAAAGAGAGCTTCTTCGTAAAGGATTCACAGTGAGTTTCCATATTCTTCGTACATAAAACTTTTTTTTTTTTTTTTTTGGAATAAGGGTCTATGGTGTTTAGAAAGTTAGTTACATAAATGATGAACTAAACAATTAGGGAAGAAAACCAAATGATAGTTTTTCTTGTATAGTGGTTGAAATGGGATAAAAGTGGCTTCCCTGATCAGATAATTATATTTGTAGGAGGTATGGTTGCGATAGTTTTTGGAAATTTTGTATATTTTTATCTCAACGTTTCATATGCCCTGATAGTCTGCTATCCCAAGTTGTTTAGATCATTAGGCTTAAACCTTGTTACTGAGAGCCAAACTAGTAGTACCAAGAGATAAAAACAGATTTGGAATTTTCGAATTTTACAGATGTTCAGTGTGCCTTGGTGACTATCAAGCAGATGACAAGCTTCAACAGATCCCGGCATGTGGACATACTTTTCACATGGACTGCATTGATCTTTGGCTCACTTCACATACCACTTGCCCTCTCTGCCGTCTCACTCTTATCCCTACCCAATCCCATCATACCCAAGAAGAAGATCCTCCTGTTCCAAGTCTCTCGAGCCCTGATGGAGGAGTATCAAGTCAGCCTGAGACGCAGGTAGAAGATCGCGCAAATAATGGCCAATGTGATCCAATTGGGAGTGATAGAGATGCAGATAACTCTAAAGAAACGCAAGAGGAAGAAGGAAACAGCATAGGGGCATCAAGTGGTTCTTGTAATTGTAGACTTGGTTAATGATTTACAGCTTGTGCTTAGTCCTTTCATGTAACTATAAATTTGTAACTTGTAACATTAGTGCATTAGAGCTTGATTCATAGAAGAAGCGGACACTTTGGTCCGATGGATGATTGGGACTGAATCAAAACATTTGAAAAATGACCTCTCTTTCCACAGAAACTTGACTCATGATCCTCTGTGTGTTGCTCAGCGCGCTAAAACAAAGAGTAATAGCAATGTCTTGTCTGTTACATGGTACCAAATAATGAAATATTCAAAAAGGTTTGGTCTTAGCCATTGGCTACAGATAAGGCAATAAGAAGAGAAATAAAAAGGGAAATTTGCCAAAACGAGACAAAAAAACACAACATTTGTCCCTTTAGAATAAAATTCATGATTTGTGTCCCTTTAGAATAAACTTTAATGAAAATCCAATTTAGTCCTCAGTATTTAAATTTTTTAAATTTAAATACAGAATTAACAAAAAAAATACAAATACTAATTAAAAAAGGTGAAAATACATATACTAATAACCATACAAAATCGTATACATATGTTTAGTGGGGTCAAAATCCCTAAGTCAAAAAAACCAATTCCCCTCGTGTTCTCTCCGGCTCCGATTCCCTTCCGTCTCCGGCGTTCTCTCCGGCGAATCCTTCCCTCTTCCTCCTTCCCCCTTCCTCTTTCCTCTGGTATTTGTATTTTCTTTTACATCCTCTTAGAATTTCATTGCTCTTATTTTCTGTGATTAATTATAAGTGCTATTGTTCTAATTGGAACTGTAAATCGGTATAGGGAGGAGGCGGACGAAGCTTTCATCACTGATTAAGAACAAGTTGGAGATCAATTTTCATCTCGGTTCATCTTTTTCCAAAATCGGAGGTTAGATTTTGGGATCCCGTTCGATGTGCATGTATTAGAGAAACAGTGGGATAGCTTAGAAACTCAACAATTATCAACTCTCTTCTACTATGAACCGAGATGAAAAATGAGACCCCTTTTTGATATTGATTTGTTTTACATGTTATTTTTGTGATTCGTTTGTGTTCAATTTACATGTGATTATTGTGATGCTCAATGCCTTCTTCGAAAATGCGTTTTGAAAATAGTACGATTTTTGTGATTCTTTTGTGTTCAATTTAACATGCAAACCGATCAATTAAGTTACTCTTAAGAGTTTTGTGCTTAGTAGCTCACAATGTAACAATTTTTGTGATTCTTTTGTGTACTATTAACATGTAAAACCCATCAATTTAGTTACTCTTAAGAGTTTTGAACTGAGTAGCTCACGCTGTATATATTTTTGTGATTCTTTTGTGTACAATTTAACATGTAAAACAGATCGATTAAGTTATTGTTAAGAGTTTTGTACTTAGTCTGTCAATTGATACTGACTATCATGTTATTTGATCTCATTGTTTACAGGCATGGCTTTGGAGTATCCAAAACGCATTTTCGAAGAAGGCATTGAGCATCAGATTGCTAAGATTAACAACACCTGTAGACGTACAATTCTTGATATACTGAAGGTTGCTCTCAAGGATGAGTACGAGGAAGTGCAGAAAGACCCTGTCTTTGGTCCGCTTCTGGCCATCAATGATAACAAGCTCATCTACTCAGGGAAGATTGTTCATAGCTTCATATGCAAGCAGTTGAAGGTTTCTAAGCTTCACGAGCTGTGGTTTCTGTTTGCAAACAGGCAGGTTAGGTTTTCAATGCAAGAGTTTTATGCTGTGACTGGACTCAAGTACAAAGAGGAACCAGATTTGGACTTCGATAGTTGGAAGAATGATAAGGGGTTCTGGAGCACGGTGCTGAAGCAAAAAGAGAAGATCAACTTAATGTGTGTAAAGAAGGAACTCCTCCAAGTTTGCAACAAATGGACGTACGTGGACAGGGTGAGGCTAGTGTATATCTGTGTTATCCATGGATTCGTCATTGCGAAGGATGAGAGAGTGCATATCCCTCACGAATACATTCGTTTGGTGATGGATTTCGAGAAAATGAGGAAGTATCCTTGGGGTCTTTATGCGTATGACGAGTTGCTTGCATCAATAGTCAAAACAAGGGCCGAGTTACATATGAAGAACAGTTACGTGCTGGATGGATTTTCTTATGCGTTTCAGATTTGGGTTATGGAGGCAATCCTGGACATTGGTATTATGGTGGGTAAGAAGCTCAAACAAAATGTCACCACAGTAAGATGCATGAACTGGAAAGGAAGTGGTAAGGTATCTTATCAAGATATCACTAGCCTAGAGTCCCATTTTGATAAGGTAATTTTTTCTTTTTATTTTGATTATTCAGTTTAGTTATGAAACAAATGCTCACTGCTTGTGGTTGTTCTTGTCAGGGAGTGTTCTTCCCATTTATAGATCCTACTGGGAATTCGAAAGTGATTGATGATGCTGCTTATATAAGAGAAGATGAGAAGAATGATGAAAGAGTTGGTCACATCTGCTTCTATTAGGTAGTTGCCTATTAGAGGATCAATGGACCAAATAGCACTGAAAATCTTCTGAAAATCAGCAACTCGATAGGCTTTAGAAGCCTTTGCAACCAAACCAGCGACGCCTTTTCCCTTGTAACTTGTTACTACATTGTTGATCAAGTGGTGAATGCAAATTCCATGATGAGATTGCGGATACA